TCCATGCTATTGTGGGCAGTTACTGAGAACACAGGGCACACAGTGCCTTGTCACTAGTTAGTTCAGGTTTACAATTGCAGAGCGAGTCCTGCTCAGTGTTAGAAGCATGTTCAGACTAGAGGGAACCTTAGGTATATTATGGTGCAAAGACCTCTCTTAGCCATGCCTCAAGTCCCCGGTGAAAAGTGCAAGAGTGCATTTCATGTTGGCTGGAAACCATGGCTTCCACATGGTGGTCTAAAATCGTATAGGGGTAGAGCACATCAAGAAAGCAACTGCAGGAACAGAACTACTAGGCGGAAGAATTTCTGGAAGAGATGCTTTCTTAAGACATAGTTTCACAGAATTAGAAAAGAGTAACTTTGGTCATATTGCAGTTTTTACTGAGGCAGCATTTCTATTTTAATTTTTGAAATCAAATGCATGATCAGTATAGCTGGTAGAACTGTGTGGCTGTATGTGTAAAAACTGTCATATTTTCCATGCTGAGTTTGACTTTTCAGTTAAGCATTGAGCTTGTCCAAAACCAACTGTTATTTAGCTAACTTTGGTCTCAGTGATAGACTTTGCTAATGATTGTTTTGAATTACTACAGGGACTGCTAGAATAAATTTGTCACTTAATCGTAACAAAAATAAGTATGAGGCCTCTAGCATCTGGAAGGGTTGCACCTGATTCATACGTAGATCTTCTGAACCACCTAAGCATGAGTTTTCTGCACTCAAATTTTTCTATTCCTATTTTCTAGAGCAAGAGAGATTCAAGACCAATTTAACAAAATGTTGACAAAAATAAATTAGATGCTGCATTCTGTTTCTGAATGTTATAAAAGAAAACTTACATTAAAATAAAAATGTTGATCATTAACCCTCCCCTCTGGTGTTTTGAAGCTAATGTGTAATCTTTCATAAGCTAATATTTCATCTAATATGGCATTATTTTAATGTTAAAATGAGTTATGTGTCTTGCTAATGTTGTCTGACACTCCTAATAAAGACTGTATCTCTAGTTGTTGTAAAAATAGTAATGTCTTCTGAAGTTACAGGAATTGCTGTTGGAAAAACTTTAGGAATTCTAGCTCAGAGAAATGGTTTGAATCCAGCTTTTTTTCTGGGGAAAAATACAGTGCTGAGGAAGGTAGAAGTTCACATTAGCTAGGATGAAACCTGCTGTACCATATAAAGTTTCATCACGTACCGGAGCATACTTTTTATATGTAACAAAAGTATGCTTTCTTTCATCTAAAGAAATCTGTATGTGATCAAATATTTTGTATCATTATGGATATGTACAAAGAGCCTGTTTTGAAGGTTATACAGTAGTACAATTGTTTTCTAATTTGTGGTTAATATTTTAAAATACTTGCCTGTGTAGTAAGTACGAAACAAAGAACTGTTGTGCAGACTTACTTTTAGGGTTTTTTTACTGTCATTTTCGACAGGAGATGAAAAGTAAATTTTTTTGGCATGGGAACAGAGATTGAGTTGGAATAGATGTTTTGGGGTTCCTGTGTGAATGCCAGAAGAACTTGCTATCAAAGGAGTTGTCTCATCAGAGTCAACCAGAATACAATGGGCTTGTAATTATTGGTTTTGTTAACTGAGCTTTGTAATAAAATGGAGATTTCCCTTCTGACATTCAAAATAAACTGGAGGTACTTCAAGAATACTTGCTAGAATTCACTGAATTCACTAATTGCTGAAATTAGTGCATATCATTTAAGACTTGCAGTGAAAGCTGGAATATAAACTTTCCATCCTCTATCTATAACTGTCTTTTCACTCTAATTAAAACACTATTAATACTAACTGGTTTAAACACCAGAGAGGATCTTTACATGAGGTGCAATTTAAGGAATCTGCTGCAAAGTCAACTTTAATTTCTGCTGCTTCTGCCTCTGTGCTGTGTTCTGCCATCCATTTGGTGGGATGATATGTTTTTTGGGTGCTACTAAAAACTAATTCACTGATGCAATCAGTTAAAATACTCTAGATGTTTTTAACCTAAATCCACTTTAGTAGGCTGGATAATAGTGTAGCCCCACCATTGCTTGTACTGAACAACTGAGGAGGTAGTCACCAAGAGCAAAGTGGGGTGGGAGGAGGAGCTGAAGCAGGCTTTGCTGCTGAAAGCAGCATTTCATGCAACTGTAGTCTCTTTTGGCTTCTTGTAATGTAAAAAAAAAATCTTACACTGAATAAAAGGATTTCTAGTAAACAAATTAATGCCAAGTTGTTTGGCACAGTAGAATAGAGTTCAATTCCTTTCTTTTTTTTTTTGTTCACTACTTGTCAGTAGCCTAATTATTACTGCACTAATTAAAGCCCTTTGTCAGTAACAGAAATGTCACACAACATTCTTTGAATAGCTTAATTTAGTGTTGGTTTTTTTTAAGAACCACTTGAGTGTATTGCCATACATTTGCCAGGCCTATTCTTGTCAGTTTGTAATACATATGCATAGTTTCAATACTGTTGTGTCTTGAAGAGAGTTTAGTTTCTAGCAGCTAGGTGAGCTGCAACTTAATCTAATCTAGATTTACATATCGTAAAGTTTGGATCTCTAGCTTTCAGTTTAATGTTTTGCAATTTAACTTGTTCTTTGTTAAAACACAATTCTGTTTGGCATAAAATGGAGAAACTTATTTTACCAGAAGTAACTGAATTTCCTTTGGTTCCCACTTGCCCCATTGAAGTTCCATTTTCTATTATATTAAAATAAAATGTAAATTTCTGAACAAAATAGTCATTTAAGTAACTATGCAAATCATACACCTGGCAACTAGGGGAATTGCAGTATCATACTGAAAATGGTTGGCAGTGGTTAAAATTAATCTGAAAATACTTTAGCATTGAAGAAGTTTACAATAAATAGCAAAGTACCCAATTTTGGATCTACCTTAATTATGGGGTTGAAGCCCACAGACATAAAATCCCAAAGCATTAGAACAGGAGGTATACAGAAGGGAATAATCATACTGTCGATTTGCTTTATTGTGCCCAGTAGGTTCATGGTACCCAGAAATATAAACAGAAGCATTTGCCATGCTTACGGTTTTTCATTTTAGCATATGTTTTGAGGAATTTTGTAGGTGGCATTACTTAGTTCTGTGGTGCTGGTATTGGGGTTACTGTTGAAATATTGTGTGATCTAGACAGGTCTGTGAATTCTGGAGAACTAGACTTCATGGTGTGCTCTGGTTTGTGTGTAATTGTGCATAGGATGTATGTTACGGTAGCTTAGCTACTACTGTCTTTTGAGTTGCTTCCCTCCTCCTTCGCAATGCCTACACTGAACATCTTGAAGAGATCAGTTGTAGTGATCTTAGATCTGACTTTTACAAGGAAAATATTTGTTGCTATCTTGTCTTGCCCTCTTCTCCCACTCCTTCCACAGTGTGGTTGTATCTAGGAGATGAAGAAATCAGTTAATAAACTTCCTGGTGACTGAAGTGTTGTACTTGAGTTGTATAGTAGTTAAATCACACTGAAGATATCATATAGTATTGTATTAATTTTTCACTGGTTCCTTCAGTATAATTTGTTGCTTTCCTCCTCTTTCACACAGCTCTCAAGAGACAGAGTTTGTACAGCAGCCCTTTTAGTGCGGTCAGTTACACAAGCTCCTATAGTCCAAATACTAGTAGCCCCTACAGCAGTGGTTTCAACTCTCCCTCCTCAACACCAGTGAAATCTGCTTTAGTGAAACAGCTCATACCTCCTGGTACCTCAGGTAAGCATGCATGTGAGTGTCTGGTCTCTCCCTTTCCCCTTCCGCCTCTTCCTTTCAAAAACATGTGCTCAAATAGATTACATTTGCATTGAACTGGAGTACGGAAGATACCAAAAACCTGACAGTCTTTTGTAGGATGTTTGCATCATGCAGTATTTCAACTTTTTAGGAAAGGCTTTTTTCCAGACTTTCTGGCATGAGATACATTTAAAATGTTTTCTCTGGAGGTCGGTGTCCCTAAGATCACCGATGCATTTAGCGGTTAGACCAAAACACAGTGTTAATTCTGTGGAGTCCCAACACATGTAACCAGCTTCTAGAATTAGCCCTGTAATTGACTGGATGTAAGTTGCATAGTAAGTGTTTAAAGGTTAGGTGTTGGTAGTTGTAAAGTCTTTGCAACTACCCTATGACTTATTAACTGAAACGTTTGGTATGCAATGTATCCATCGGTACCTCTGAGATGTGAACAATATAATCTAAGAAAGAAGCATGTATTTTAATTAAAGGCATTCCTTGAGGCTTTGCAGTCATCAATGTAAACACTAACTTCTGGCAATGTTTTCTGCCTTTATTCTGCACCACAGGCACTTTCTTTGCATCAGAAAAATTGATGCCTGGAACATGTCTCTACTCTGAAGTCAGAATATTGGCTTATATATACTTCAACTCAAGTTAGCTTGCAGGGAAGATGAAAAACATTGCATTGACAATCCAACTATCTATAGTTTGCTGTGGACTTGTAAAGAGAAGCCTGCACTGCAGTATATTCACCAGGCCCATTACCCAGGTTTTGTTTTAATCTATGTAGCTCTGCTCTGCATTGTGTGCTACAATGCTGTATCTGCCTGCAGGACAGAGAGATGAAATGTAACTGGCAATGGGGTGTCAGCCAGAAGGCAGCAAACAGGAAGAGTTTTTCTGGTATGTTATAGTTTAGCAAAGATGTGTACATAGAACAGGTAGTATTTTCCGATAAACTGTATTTTAAGCATTCCAAACTGAATCAATGTTCATTGGATCAGCAAGTCTTTATTGTCAAGAAAGATATAGTCAAACTTACGTCTTACAAGGTAGCGTGCAGAGATGAGAATGAAAGCACAAAGGGAACAGGTACGCAGTTTCTCTTTCTGCAAGAGCTGTGCAAACTTCATAGCAGTTGAAACTCGGTACAGATAGACCAGATTATATGTCGTTAATTCGTTTTGCACTATTATAATGATTTTATGAAGTTGCTCATTTTTAGAAGGTGATGGCTAAGCTCTGCTTGTGTAAATTATATGTTCAGCCTAGGTTCGCAATCAAATGTTTCAAATGGTCTGTCAGACTCAACATCTCAGTTATAATCTGTTTTCAGATTTGTGGTTCTTTTACTAGGAAAGGAAATACAGCTTGCCCTTTTTTTTAACATTTCCTATTACTTTATTTTCTTTCTGTAGGTCATCTTAAAAGTTCGGCAGATAGAAATCCTCCACTAAGTCCACAGTCCTCTCTGGACAGTGAACTAAGTGCATCAGAGATGGATGAAGACTCTATTGGGTCTAATTACAAGCTAAATGATGTTACAGATGTGCAAATTTTAGCACGAATGCAGGAAGAAAGTAAGTATTTTCCATTCTGAAAACAAAGTGGAGCAGTTGATCTTTTTTTATTGAATAATGGCAGTAGCAC